AAGTTTAATCCCTAGAGCTACTCTGAAAGAGCACAGTTGTGCGGTTGTAGTATTGCAGGGGTCGAACCACAGAGACGAGAGATTCACTCAATAAACCAATTAGACTCGAATTACGCTAAGCAAAAACAATGAAATTAAAAGCAGCAATGAAATCAAAACGGTTGTAAACTCGATGGAAAAGAATTAGGCTCAGGGTGTTTCTCAGGAAATCAGAGAATGCAGATAAATCAACTAGTCAGGATTCAGGTTAAGCGCGGTTCTTGAACTCAAATCACGAAATTATAATTAACCAACTTTTGTTGCGAGAATTATCTAAGTCTAAATCCTAGAATCCCAAATTTCTTTGCAAATCCTAAAGATATAAACTAGCCTTAAGTGCAGGTTTGATATGTTCACAACGTATCTAAACCAAATTTCTTTGCGGATAGCTACTTTGCTCACCCTAGGTTCTTTCCAGTTATTCAATTACACTTTCGTGTCAATCAATTAACCTAAGATCTAAGTTCTAGGTGGCCAGTCCAGAATTAGCTTTAAGAACAACCTATGGTGAAGAACTAATCAGATTATGAACCCTAACTAGCAAATCAATCCAACATTCAATGAAATTCCTTATGAGAACCCTAAACCTAACAAGCCAACTACTCAGACATGAATATTAAAGCAACAGACATGAATGAATAGATTGCAAATAAGAAATCACTGAATAAATAACAGGGGTTCGAAATCTTCTCTCAAAAGAAACAGAGTTCAGACTTGTCTCCCCAAAAGCTCTCAAAAGTAAAGATGACCAAAGTTTTCTCTCTGAAAGTCTAAAAATATAAAAGGTCTCGATGAAGGAGGCAGAAAACCCTTCTTAAATCTAAAAACACATTTTTGGGCCTTTTTGTAAATACTAAAGACTTCAGGACTTCACAGAATCTTCAGAAATTGGATAAAATCACGTTTTTCCTTTTGTGGTCCTCGGTGTCGAGCGACACCGATGATAGTGTTGAGCGACACTCATGCACAGCTGAAATCATCCTTTACGAAAATCCATCCATTTAGCTCCAAAATGCTCCAATATCTCCAATTAAGCTCCAAACGTACCTAGGACCTGTAAAGACTCCAAAAGACTCGAAAAACACTAGAAAGACTCTATAAATAAGACTTATATCATGGTCAAAAACCATAAAAACCATGATATATCAAAAAGGACTTCTCTTGATACTCTTGTGAGCTGGGTTAAAGCTCATCGAGACCTACCATTGCCGGTTTGGCGTGGGAACTCGTAATCCTGCTGTGTCATCTCTATTTTATTACTCCTGCACAAACAACAACATTAAAGCTAAGAAACAAGTGAACCTAAGCATAAACTACTAACACTAGCCCAAGCATCAGAAAAGGCATCCTGGAGATTTCTTTGTTTTCATTGCCTTGATACTCACCCTGGAAGCACTGGTGGATGATACTTCTGTATTCCTTTGAAGTTCTAAGATCCATGTGCAAAGTGTTGTGGAGCCACGACATAAACTCCACTGGATCTGACTGTTGGCCTGTCCTAAATCGTTTCTTGCTAGCTTTCATTACAGCTGGCAAGAACTCATGTGGACTCACCTGTCCTTTAAAGTTTCAGAGCATGCCAATCTTTCGTGTGAGTTCCCCCAAAGTTGTGAATAAGAGGAGACTCGCAATGCTGATAGTTGTAGGGAAACAGAAAGAATTTCCTTTAGGGAGTATATTCTCATCAACGATTGGATTGTAACATTCACAAACTCCGTATTTTGTATGTTGTTCAACCCCACCATTCCCAAAAGATAGTTAGAGCCATCAAGAGCCCTAGACCAATGCTTATTCCTGTCAAACTCTTCAACTTGTGCCCTACTAAATCTTAGGTTTAAGACATGTCGAATGTCATCCAAAGAAGGGTCATTGATCTCGTAACTATTAGGAAGACGATACACCTTCTTTGTCACAAGATTGATATAAACGTGGTGTCCTGCTTGCTTCCAAGCTATGTGTTCATGAGACTTGTGGCTTCTGCCTTGGAAGTACTTCCCGCAGACAAGATACGCATACACATTTAAATTCGACAAGGGCACAGTCACACAGAACAAAACCTCTCGAAATCAAAATCCAAGACCTGACGATTAACGGCATAAACCCATGGGCCAACTCATTTTTAGAAGATTACTGAGAATTAGATGAGTTCGTCTTATTGCTGTTGGTTGGTTGGTTTTTTTTTTTTTTTTTTTAAATTGTTGTTGTTGGTTTTCATTGTGTGTGTATCTTTAGTATTTTTTTTTCTTTTCGATTATTTGATTGTAGTATTAATACTTTTTGATTGTGTGTTTACTTCGAGCTTTTTTTTTGACTTTTTTTTTGTAATTTAAAATAGGGTTCTCGGTTTAGCTATGCATGATCTTAGAGCATCTTAGCATCTATATCTTGCTCTAAACTCTATTTTTAGAGTAAAATGATATACAATAATATTTTATATGTTGTTCTATAAATAGAGAAATGAAAAATGTTACTTTATAAGAGATTTTCAATGGTTGGTTCTATTCATGGCTCTTAGACTAATGCTTTTTTATTTACAAAATAATCATTTAGTTTTTATATTTTTTCATTTGATACCTAAATAATGAGTTAACTAGTAGTTTTACATTTATTTAAAATTATACTACTAATAATATGTTATAGAATTATTTTAACTTAAAAGAAAACAACAATATACATTAAACAAAGAAATAAAATAAGATAACAAACAATAAAATTAGAAATACATAATTAATACTAAAAATTAAAGATAAAAATCTCAAATTAAATATTAAAAAAAAAAATAACACAATTTATTAGACTAGTAATCTAATACTCTGGAAAGTAATGAATGTGATGTAATGAATTTTTATAATAATTAATGTTTAAAAAATATGTTCATATTGAATTATTGTTAGAAATAAAATAAATAGAACAATTTTAAAATTTTAAAAGTAAAGGGTATTATAGGCAATTAATACTAAAAACAAAAGATAATATATTTCTATTATTTATTTTTAGAGTCATATATAGAAATGACCATTGAAGTCCCTTCTCTATTTTTTGAGAATTCTATATTTAGAACCAAAAATAAAACCAACCATTGAATATCTCTTATAATCTTTTTAAAAAATATATATATATATATAATGTCGTTACAGACACGATAAAGGAAAAAATTGAACACCATCAAGCTGATGAAAGTAGTTGATTTCATTTAGAGAGAAGGGATGAACTCACATTCAATGCGAAGATTAATGTTGTGACGAGTGTAGAAATCGCAAACCCTAAAGCTCAAAATCACCGAAATTCTAGCTATCTATAATTTCGTTTGATTTTGTCGACAAACTCTAGTAATTACACTATTTTGTGTCATTAAAGTTATCTAAATATTTTAACATCGCCCTCAACATAATACCGAAACACCAACCAAATAAAAAAGATAGAGGAAGGATCAAGCTTCTCTAGATTTTTTTGTGTGCCAAAGCTTCTCTAGATTTAAATCCCAAAAAAAAAAGAACTTAATTTTTTGTTTTTTTAAAAAAAATCTTTCTTCCTATTATTATCTTCTAGGAGGCTATAGATGAAATTATGAAAGATATTTATCAAAGTCAGAGCCATGCCTAATATTTTTGAGGTCCCATGCCAAACAAAAGTAGTGTGACATTTATTTCAAAAATTACAAAATGCTAATAAATCTTTTAAGACAAAAAGGATGCCCATAACTAATAAGAATCCTCAACTATTTTTTCTTAAGGTTGTTTCGAGTTTTAACCTATGTTGCATGCAATCGTTCTGAAAGCTCCTATTCTCGTTTCGGAATCAGAAATGGAATTAGAATCATTCGGAATCGCCTAGAATTTTCGGGAATAACGATTCCAAAAAGTGATGTTTGGGTACGCTGAAGAAGCTGGAAGCGTCGTCTGAGATTTTGGAAGTATTGCCTAAGTCCTGAGATTTTAAAAAATCAAAGAAGATGAAGTCTACATGTCAACTCACAGATTGTTTTTATTAGTTATTATTTGGGCTATTAAATGTTTTCAAGCTCATTTACTTTAGACCATTCATTTTTTTATATAAATATTATCTAATCATTTTTTAAGAGAATTGCATAAACTTAATTATACATAAATCTAATTACATTCTAAAGAGAGTTTTTTTTCTTCTAAATTTTTAAACTTTAAATCATTTTTAATATCATTTAATGTTTAGTATTTCATAATATAATCTCATATATATATGTTTTCAACACGTATCTGCTTCCTATTTAGAAAATTCACTTCTCCGCCTCCTTCCCTTCCGCTTCCACGTACCCGCTTCCAATTCATTGCAGATTTTAACAAATATATCTTCAGAAGTCCCAAAGGATAAACACACTATCAAAGCTAATATTTAGTCATTTGTCCTTTTCGGTCTAAGTACCAACTATACTTGCTAGCGCGTATGCAAAAACTATTCAGAATTTTTCTTTCCGAAAATAACAAGGAAAAAATATTTCTAAATATGACTCCAAGAAATAATGTCATAACATCTTACGATGAAAATACGATGCGTTTAATGATACCAATTCTAAATAAGAAAATTTAATAGTTTTGTGATAAGAATTTCGTCACGTAAAAGATGATTTCTTGTGGTCTGAGGGTCTTCTTTGAGGCAATTACCAAGATTTAGTAAGCATTTTGAAAATTTCGAGGACATCGCTTCATGGTCTACCAAATTTAAGAGTTTCAATTCCTTCATAATGTTCCGGAATAGCAAAACATAACTCTCCTAATGCAAGGTTTCTTCCCTTGTTGTATTTATTTATCATTGGTTAACCTAATGTTGATATCATGACTTAAGTATCTTCTAAAGTTATATGAACCCTAATTTAATTGAAAAAAAACAAATATTAGCGTTAAGTGGATTGAAAAAGTAACCATTGTACGCATTAATCCATTGCTGGAAAAAATATAAAAGAAAATATTAATTCATTGAAAAGGTTGTTCAAGGGTAATGACAATGATTAACATCATGTCACGTTATTGTCTTAAACGGGATGGATAATACATGATCCTTATTCAGAAAACGGTAAAGAAAACTAAAACAGTTAACTGCTGAATAGTTTTTATTGTATGATCAGAATATGGCCTGTAGATCCATGATCTTCCTCCGGTTCAACTGAAATGCCCTTGCAAGAATATCCGGGTTTATGGGCGGGTTAGACCCAAACACTGTGTTAGCAACAGTGATCAGACCTGGGTTTTGGCTGTTAAAAGAAGTGAATGCAACTGCTGGAACTCGTCCCACATTGGCATGGTAATGGATGAGTCCCTTTGGAAACACAATTAGATCACCTTTGTTGAGTGTTTTGGCGAAAAGACGATTTCCGTCTTGGTCTGACGAGACAAAACCTGCCAAAAGTGTTCCTTCTTGGACAATCAAGAACTCGCTGGCACGTGGATGGGTGTGAGGCGGGATCAGCCCATTCACTGCATAATCTACACGGGCAAATGCAATTCCGAGGGTGTTTAACCCTGGAAGATTATCAGCAAAAACGGGGGTCACATTTGTTCCGACAGCATTTGTTGCAACTCTTGGCTTGTCAAGCCCTGTGAAAAAGAAGTCGTCTGCTGTGGCGAGCTTTGGGTCTTTGCAAAACTTTCCGTTCACAAACACTGAAAATGATAACCAAATAACGAAATAGTATAATAAATCATAGAAAGAAGAGTGTCAAAAGGACTAAGAAATCATCATTATGTACATACCACCATCTGCTGGGGTGTTTACGCCAACGCAGAAGTCTTGAAGGGGGCTTGGGTCAGAAGCAATGGCTGATGGAAGTGTTAAAGCCAAGAGAGATAGAATGGCGAAAAAAGAGAGACTCTTCATTGGCATCTGCTAGTTGAAGCAATTCTGAAAAGAGAGGATTTTTTTTTCTTCTTCTTGAATTAAGTACTTATGAGACACAGAGTTCAATTTATAGATGAAATTCACGCAAATTGTTTTTGAAAAAATTTCCCAGCATAAACCGAGGGTAACACTAGATTTTCACAGTTTTCAGTTAGTCTTTGTCACATGTTATTTAAAATTAAAAGCGGTTAATGCATGATTCCATTTAAGCCAAAATATTAGGTTAAGGTTGTTTACAATGTTTAGGTAATAAAAAAATGTTTGTATAAGTTTCTTGACAAAATGTTTTTTTTTAAGAACTTTTCCATTTTCGTCTATAAAATTTAAATTCCTATAATTCTTTTCGAAGGATATCTTCAACAGAAACTTTTATAATACTATTTAAAAATTTAAAATTCTATGTTTCTTTTGCATTTTCGTTCCTAAAATTATTCATTTCACAAATAATCTTACTTTTTTTATTCTTTTAGACCCTACATTGTATGTCTCATAAATATATCAAAATTTTTATTTTTTATTTTTATTAGTTCGTAATACAAGATTTTTTTATATTACTTTGAAATGCAATGGTTGATCATATGTGAAAATTTATGATTTTTTTATAATATATAATTTATTTTATCATGATGTATATATAATTTTATGTTGTAATGTAGTATGTTTGTGTTTGTAATGTTTAATGTTTGTATTATAGCTTAGTTAATAAGGAAGTTTTATTATTATAGTTAATAATTATGATCAATAGAGTACTATAATGCAAAATACATTACAAACTTTTTTGAGGTTCCATTTGAGGTTGTAATTCTGGAGAGAAACACCCTTCTGGAAATTCCCTAAATGATTATGGATGGAAATTATGAAAGTAGAATTGTTATTTTTTACTGTTTTTGGTGAAAAACACAATAGTTTTTAACTTTCAATAATTACTCTACTTTATACAATCTTATAAAGGATGGGAGCACGCACGTTTTGTAGATTTGACTTCTCTATATATATATCAGTCTCTTTCACCTTTTTTTTGTGGATCAAGTCACCGCTTTAGTTCTCCACGTAGGAGCCTAAGTCTAAAGATTGGAAAATGTTTGGGACATTATTTCAATGTTTCAACGCTTTACTTTCACCATTTTCCTGATTATATATTTCATAAAATGATTGCGAAAGGATTTGATATGTTTTCCTTGTTTTTGTTGTCCCATAATCATAGGTTTTTAAGGAAGTAAAAAAAAGATCATATGTTTTTGAGTTTCCTTTACTCTTATGTCGACCTAACTACTCTAATTGATAATTGTTATCATATATATGTGTTAAGAAACCTATCATTTGTTAACTCTTGATTTTTCGATAATGTAAAGTAGGTTAGGCATTTGGGAGTTTCTTTTTATTGTGAACTCTTTCTTTTGTCAATCAACTTCAAGTCTTGTTGGTAGCCCTCAAGTCTAGTATATACACTTGATACTTAGTTATCTAACTAGATTAATTGCAAATTGTAATAGATATTATCAAGATTAAGTCAACTACATGACAACTCTTTACATCAATGGAAATGAAATCCTATCCCTTAACACATTTTTTATTAATTTTCTCTTTACTTTTCAAATAAATAGGTTAAGAGGGTTTGTCAAAAGAGTTAGACAAGCAGGGGGTTACCGAAATTAATGAGTAATTTAAACCACTTTCAAAACTAAAGCCGAAAGAGTAATCGTCAGTGAGTAGGGTGAAAAAGAGTTGGAAACCATTATCTTGCTTTTTCAAAACATATGTGGATTGAAAAACGACTATTGCGTGTGGTAGATTGCCAGAATAACTTTGTAAGCATTAATAATCATTGTTAAAAAATAAAAATAAAAAATAGTACATTAAAAACAGCAATTAACATCATGTCGCGTTATTGATGAATGGATAATACGTGATCCTTATTCAACACAAAGTCAAAAGAAAATAAAAGTAATCAAAAGCACAATACATTTCATTTCATAATCAGAACTTGGCCTGTAGATCCATGATCAATTTAGGATCCAACTGAAATGCTCTTGCAAGAACATTGGGATCGATTGCCGGGTTAGATCCAAACACGGTGTTAGCAATTGTGACAACACCTGGGTTTTGGCTGCTGAGAGCAGCGAAAGCAACCGCTGGAGAGCGTCCCACATTGGCTTGGAAATGGATGAGTCCTTCTGGAAACACAAAAACATCACCCATGTTGAGTGTTTTTGTGAAGAGACGGTTTCCATCTCCGTTTGATGTGACAAATCCTACAAAAAGAGTTCCATGTCCGACATACAAGATCTCGGTAGCACGCGGGTGAGTGTGAGGTGGGTTCTGTCCATTCACTCCATAGTCTATACGAACAAGCGATATTCCAAGGGTGTTTAACCCAGGAAGGTTGTTAACATTCACGGCTGTCACATTCGACCCAACTGCATTAGCGACAGCTCTTGCATTTTGAAGCCCTGCCAAGAAGAAATCATCCGCTGAGACGAGCTTTGGATCTTTGCAGAACTTTCCATTCACAAACACTGATAAACATATTTACCAAATAGGAAAAAGAGTGTTACAAATGAGAAATCAATGTAAAACCAAAAAGAAAAAAGAGAAATCAGTAAATACGATTAGGAAAGTTATCATGTACATACCACCATCTGCTGGGGTATTGACACCGACACAGAAGTCTTGAAGGGGGCTTGGATCAGAAGCAATGGCTAATGGAAGTGTTAAAGCCAAGAGAGATAGAATGGCGAGAAGTGAGAGACTCTTCATTGTCATATATTTATTATTAACTTAAAACGATTCTTTCGATGAAGGGAAGATGTTTATGCTTGTTGAATGTTCTTTTAATTGAGAGGTAAGAAACCTTTTAGATAAAGAGCTCAATTTATAGATGATTTTAGGTGTTGAACCAGTCTATATATATACATATATATGTATATACACTTGTAAATCCAAAAATGCGACAATGTCCGAACTATAAGTTTGACATGGCTAAAATATTTGTTTAAATATTGTTCTCTGATCATTTCTTAACAACCATGTTTATGGTGGTAATATATCTAATGCACAGTATATGATACCAAATTATGCACTTGACGTTTGAACGGGCATGTTTTTGTTTAATGATTGTATATTCTCAACTTGTCATGAATTTATACGTGCTTGTCTGGATAATACGCAAATTGCACGTGCGATAATGCTATTGAATTGACTCAAACAAATGTCAATGTGTATTTGTTGGATTAGTTTTATTGTTTCCTTGAATAACAAGCCATGACTTTATCAACTCAGTATGTTGGAAGAGATCAGGTCTCTAACTTTATTGAGGAATATTTGACTCATAAATTTAAACCCGTCGATGGTGCACCCACGTCATCGCAACCCTAAATTGTCCGTTCATCTTAGTTGTAATGTTTTTTACAAATAGATATTGGTTCCAATGCTTGTTATACATTTTTTTACGGTTTTTATATGGCAAATTCAAAGCGTGAAATTAGGAATCTCCGACGAGGATATTATAATTGAATTTACCATTGCGTTGATGCATCGTAAAATTAAGATAATTATCTTGTATTTGTATTTAACTATATTATTTATTTTACTATTTACCCTAATTAACTTAATTTTATTTTTAAGGATTTTTGGAGCTGGCTTTTAAGCTTTCTCATAAATAGCTTAATTAAGCCTTTGTGATATTTGTTTATATTTATAACTAGATGAGTATCCGCACTAACGCGCAGGTTTATTTAAAAGTGTTCATGTCGATAGACCTGTGCTAATACTAAAATTTTTGCGTTTATATATTATATTTGTTTTAAAATTTTGTATATATATCAAATATAGAACATGCCATTTATTTCATTTGTGAATATGTAGTTTTATTTGACTAAGAGAAATAATAGAATAACAATAAAATCAAGTGTTGAACTTATGAATAGTTTAATCTCACTGTCTATCAGTTAGATAATACTGTAAGCAACTATATATATTTTATTTAAATCCCAAATATTTAGATTGCATTTATGATTTAAATATTAGATTCAAGCAGATTAGTCTACTTAATTTGTGAAACCCCAACCACATTCTTAAGAAAGGATAAAAACTCAAAATTATATTCTAACACTAAATAATTGTATACAATCACGTACATAGAAAATCATCAAAGCTCCATGTGAAGCAGTGAAGGCTTTGAAAAACAAATAACGTATCTTACATCAAATTGTGAGAAAGTATGTTCAAACGACCACATAAATATCATCTTACCAGACTAACGAGACAAGATTTTAACATAGAAAAATGAAAGGAGATGTGTATGTGGTTCCTGTTTTGTGTTCCAAACGTCTTCTACATATCCTGGTACATCATTTATATTGTTGTATATTTTTTTGTTTTCATAATTTTGTTATTTTATTTAGTTGAATTTAAGATTCAAATATTATCATCATAAGGTCCTGAAACCTTTTCTAAGAAATCTTGTAATTTAGTATTAAGTTTACGATTTTTTCTAACAAATTTAGAGTAATCTTTAAAAATATTTACAAACCATTGCTAAAAGTGTCTTTGTGCTTTTGTCCCTTAGTGGTGTTTTAGCTTTCCCAATATTTATTAGCCTCCACCATCTTCACCAAATTTCAATATACATGAAATAGTTTTAGTTAACATAAATAGTTGTATAAGTATATGTTATTGATATATACTGAAGACCTCTGTTAGTTGAATTTTTCTCCTTCTGATGTTAAAAAAGTAAGCATTTTCTTCTTCTTTCCATCTTTCTTGAGGACCTGGCTTTTGCAAACATGATGTTTTGAAGTTTATTTGCTATCAAATGCATTTTTAACGAAGGCATAAAGCTGAAGGTCACACCTCTAAATTTTTCTCACCACCTAGTTGGAGTATACACATTGTTTTTGGGAGAGAAACCCATTAACATAAATAATCATTTTATATGATAAACACATTCTGATAAGAATAAAAATAAGGCCAACATAAGGCAGAATAACCTAAAAAGGTAGATTGTATAAAATATATCTATTTACTGAAGTCTCCAGTGAGCTCTTGGTCCATTATCAATTTAGGAAAACTACATTCTTAATATAAAAGAGAAATCTTAATTTATAGTTCTATCAAACCATGACTCGAAACCTTCTTTGCTTTTGGCTACACAACCCAATTTTTTTTATTTTTTGCGTAGCAGTGCATTGTATGATATGGACCCAAAAAGATCTACGCCTGAACTGCAGATCTAACCAAACATTTTTTTGATGCATTTGGAGTTGAGAGTTGACCCAATATATCATACTCGTTCAATTTATCCGTCACAATTCTCTCTAGATCTCTCACTGGTGTATACTGCATCAGCCACACGCCTGTGTACAGTTGCAGGTGGTGAGTCAGTGTCTATAAGTTTGAAACTGATCCAAAAAAATATCTTTCTCTGTACAGAAAAGTAACTAAACATGTTTAGACTGCGAGAAAAGTAACTAAAATGTTGTGTTCTCATGATCTTTGTCTACATATTGACAGATGTAAAGCCATCGCTTGTTTTGAGTTGTGGACCATGCATTATCGAATTCCAAGATGCTTGAAAACCCAGCAGATAAATCATTAACCTCCTTCATTGGAGTATATGTATGAACTCTAAAATAGATAATTAAATTAAATTACAAACCAATACACATACGAATTGAAAGAGGAATATAAAAAACAAAAGTAAAAAAAAAGAATATACAGTCAGTAAGAGAAAGAGAATTTACCCGGAGAACTTGCAGGAGAGTTCTCGGATTCTTCCAAAATTCAAATTGCATTCGTCCAAAGCTGACACTATGATATTTTATTTTGGCGGAGTTCTTATTTAACTTTGGACTGGCAAACACTTCATCTTTACAGCCGAAATGGTAATGTCACGCCTTTCTTCTCTCTCAGATAGTATGAAACTGATAAAAGTTTGAAACTTCTTTGTTTCCGCAATGTTACGTTCTGCTGGTTATGACAATGATGTGGATTGGAAGACATGGTGTTTTAGTACAACTTTATTGATTCTGCTGGTAATGTTAATAATGTAGAAATAAACCTGTGGAAGAAGGGACGACCAAAAGAGGTAGTGGAAGCGTGACGTCCAAAAGAATGTGATAGGAGAAGAGAAGAATATGGTGTGCATATATGGTCTTCTACAACTAAGTCAGTTGGAGAACTCCACCATTTGATTTTTATGGTCCAATATCCAAATAAGGTGGTTGCTCATGACGACTTTTATGAATTTCACAGATCGGTCGCTAACTTTTATATGATACTTATCTAATTTACGAACTTTTCTCTATTTTTCACAAAACCACATATCAAGATAATGAGATCATACACTTGAATAAGTCTGATACGCTCATCCTCTCCATCACCGAAAGTCGCGTATTGATCTTATGCAAGAAATTCTTGTGACCATCAAATTCTCTGCAAGACAAATTAGATAGAAAAATTATCAACAAGATTGTTATAAGGTAGAGATCTACCAAGAGGAATAGACATTGATATTTTTAAAACTGTAATTAAGAAAGATTAATCGTAGAAATCGATGGAGAGGAATTCCAGACCTATTGCAAGAGAGAATGGGTGGCTTCCACATGAATGCCAATTATGCCACGAAGCGAATTTAAAATGGAGGGTTCACTTCAAGTAAGAGTTTGATTTCTTGGGTAGAGGAAGTGAAAAGATGGAGGATATAAAGAGTCAAATTTACAAATTGATGTAAATGCTGCAATTAAAGTTATTAAACCTAGAAGAGAAGAAACCGTGACTATTGAAACGTACAAAAATAATTAGGACACGTGTCATCTTCTGGGATGCTAACGTGTCGTCTTCTGGAGAGAGTTTCTTCATCTTTTATATAGTAGATAAGGGGAATTAACTATTAAGCTGAATAACCAAAAGTCTTAGTAAAATTCATCAAACGACCAAATTGTTTTTTAACTATTACATTGTGTATATTTATTACAACATATAGTAAATTCTCTATTTTTCTTAAGTAATGTTAGTTTGTTTTTATGGGTGGAACTTCATGTTTATTGCATGAATCACAATTTTTATTTTGTAGACCATCTTTGACTTGCATATTCTTCTCACAAACATTTCACCTTCTTTGTAATTGACATTAAATATATAGCAGACTAGACAGATGTTAGAGAAAAATGAAAATTATTAAAAAAAATTAATAATAACAGAAAATGTAGTACATCTGCATGTCTTTTTTTTTTCCCCGAGTACGTCAACATGTCTAATTGCTACCAAATAAGACTATAACCAGATAGACAGACAAAATGTATTCTTTTCCGACGACAAGAAAATGTACTCTATTCCAAGTTTTCTTACAAATGGTATCTTCCTTACTGAGTTTTCCGATAAAATACGTACGTCTATTCTTTTTTTTTTTCGGAAACTTGTTTAATGACACTTTTCCATCGTAATATGCTATATTAATTGATCATTTGAACAAAAAAAATTAGTGAGAAAAATCTCTGACACGAATGTAATTCATTCATTGTTGATGAAATAAAAACAATAATCATTGACAAATTTGAAGGAAAAAGGCAACGACCAACAATGCATGATCCTTATTTAGACGAATACAAGAAATGCAAGAATGAAATTCCAAAACACAAGTTTTGTTACATCATGATCAGAACTTGTTCTGTAGATCAATGACAACCTTAGGATCCAACTGGAAGGCCCTAGCAAGAACGTTCGGGTTTATCGGCGGGTTAGATCCAAACACAGTGTTAGCAATAGTGACAACACCTGGGTTTTGGCTGCTTAGAGCAGCGAATGCAACCGCTGGAGATCGTCCCACATTGGCTTGGAAATGGATG